AATCACTGGGATGAAAGCATGGAAGAAGCTGTGCAGTGCCAGTCACCATCCAAAATTAGGGATCTTTATGCAACTCTCATATCATCTTGCGGGCTATCTAATGCACATGAATTGTGGGACAAATATAAAGAGTACATGGCGGAAGATATTTTGCGGAGGTTACAGCAGACGCACGCTAATATGACATACAATGAACACATTTATAATGTATCACTTGGAAAAATTTAAGATGAAGTAATGGCAATGGTAGGCAAAAAATTAAGCGACTTTGGAATGATAAGTCCTCAGCGAACAACTGAAAATGAACTAAGTGATGAAATTATACGTGAAACAAACTACTATATACCAGCTTTGTAGCAGCAAGTAGCCGAATTGGTTGAAATTTGGAATCGTTTGGCAGGAATTTGGGGGAGTAAGGTGCTTTATTTGGTTTGGTCTCCAATTATAATAATACCACTCCCATTAAAAGGTAATGCACGATTCTTGAGAAAAATCAAAAAGAAAATCCCATAGAACTAACCTCAAAATCATAACTTTGGCAGGAATTTGAGGGAGTAAGGTGTTTTATTTGTTAGGGGTTTGGTCTCCGATTATATTAATACCACTCACATTAAAAGGTAATGCACCGTTATCGAAAAAATAAATAAAAACTATTATAACCTTAATACGTAAAGTATGAAAGTATATAACATAGATTACTGACTATATACTAGAGAGTATGAAAAGTGATACATTTTTGATTATTAACTGAATTTACGGCTCTGGGTTCTAGACTTTCTGAGAAAAAATTATACGATATTACTGTGAAAGATAGATAGCATACAGAATTTTGTGTCTGTGGCGGGACCAAAGGCAACCTGACTATAGATATCTGATCTGATCGAATCTGTACTAAAATTAAATTAGCACGCCCCGAATCCAGGTAGACTTGTCTGCCCTACTCCTAAAGTGTTTTTGTAAAGCCGTAGGTGCGGAAGGAGAGCAGCCTCCGCCCGTCGTAGCAAATTGCAGGCACCTGTGCGAGCCGTAGTATGGTTATTATTGTATTATATATTATGTTTATAATTTAAATTAATTATAAAAGCTAATATTTTGGTGTTTTGTCGAAGGAAGGACGGTCGACGGAGCCTCGATTCGCGGGGCTCCTACTTCTGAATGGTTTACAAACAAATAACCACGAAGGGAATGCCATCCCCTTCTAACCTATCCTGTCTGAGTCGGGGTGCCCTAAGTCCTGCTCGCTCTTGCACTCAACAAAACACCAAAATAGGTTGAAATTTATAATCGTTTGGCAGGAATTTGGGGGAGTAAGGTGTTTATTTGGTAGGGGTTTGGTCCCCCGATTATAATAATACCACTCCCATTAAAAGGTAATGCACCGTTCTTAAGAAAAATCAAAAAGAAAATCCCATAGAACTAACCTCAAAATCATAACTCAAAATGAATTAAGGGGATGGGAGGTGGTGGAGAGGGAGGCGGGGGTGTTGTAGAGTCGCTCCACACTTCCACATCCTGCCGGACATGCTTATTTTTTAATAAATTTTTAAAAATCTAATTTTGAGGTTATGTTTTTGTAATATTTTTTACTATAATCCTGATTAATGGAGGGAGAGAGTTGGAGGAGGGAAGCACCACGTAGTGCAGTCGAAGGAAGGACGGTCGACGGAGCCCCGCGAAGCGTATTAGTAATTTATTTAATAACCACTTCTAACAAATCTGTCCGAGTCGGGGTGCCCTAAGTCCCGCTCACTTCGCTCGCTCTTGCACTCAACAAGACACCAAAATATTAGCTTTTATAATTAATTTAAATTATAAACATAATATATAATACAATAATAACCATACTACGGCTCACACAGGTGCCTGCGATTTGCTACGACGGGCAGAGGCTGCTCTTCCTCCGCACCTACGGCTTTACAAAAACACTTTAGGAGTAGGGCAGACAAGTCTACCTGGATTCGGGGTGTGCTAATTTAATTTTGGTACAGATTCGATCAGATCAGATATTTATAGTCAAGTTGCCTTTGCTCCCGCCACAGACACAAAATTCTGTATGCTATCCATCTTTCACAGTAATATCGTATAATTTTTTCTCAGAAAGTCTAGAACCCAGAGCCGTAAATTCAGTTAATAATAAAAAATGTATCACTTTTCATCTTTTCATACTAGATATGTGTACATCATTCATTTCTAGCGACCGAATGATTCTAGTACATTTCGTCACGCGTACTGGTACATTTGGATCGATCATTCAAATGGATCATTTCAGGCTCCAGTAGGTACTCTGTGAGATCCATTTGGAACCGAAAATTTTAACATTTATTTGCTACAAAAATTAAACATGTACCTATCTTGTACTTATATAGTGTGGTTGAAAATTATCATTAAATAAATCATTGATCATGAAATCTTTTGAAGTGTTATTTTTAGTAAACTCTACGAAATGATATTTGTAACTCATAGATTTAACAAATAAATATAATAAAATGTAAAATAATTTTTAATTTAGGTAACAATATTATAATTCAAAAAGCCTTAAATAATGAATACTCCTGATACTCTGCAGTCTACATTGTTAATACGATTCGCCTGTTTATTCAGGTCATTCGGGATTCGGTCGGTTTGCGGCTCATTCAAAATTCAAACAAATCGCGGGTTAAAAAGGTACGGTCAATTGTTTGTGATTGGTTGTACTGGTTCATTCAAAAACAAATGAATGAACCATCAATACTTTTAAGTGTACCAGCTCAAACGAACGAATCATGCATGATTGACACATCTCTATTTCATACTCTCTAGTACATAGTCAGTAATCTATGAATCTATGTTTCATACTTTCATACTTTACGTGTTAAGGTTATAATAGTTTTTATTTATTTTTTCGATAACGGTGCATTACCTTTTAATGGAGTGGTATTTTAATCGCTCACACCTTGAATTCTTTCGGAGTGGTATTATTATAATCGGGGACCAAATCTCTACCAAATAAAACACCTTACTCCCCCAAATTCCTGCCAAACGATTCTAAATCCAACCCGCCGAATTTGTACCCCGCTTGCTTCCCGAACAAAAACGAGTTTTTGACAAAGTATTAGGACAAATTGAATCTGAAAATGGTGCACTTTTCTTTTTAGATGCCCCTGGAGAAACTGTAAAGACATTTTTGTTAAATTTATTATTAGCGCAAATACGGAAAGATAAAAACATTGCTGTGGCCGTAGCTTCCGCTTTTATAGCCGCCACGCTGCTAAGCGGGGGCCGCACTGCACATTCTGTTTTAAAACTCCCTCTAAATCTAGCCCAGGAAGAATCGCCGATCTGCAACTTTAGCAAAAATAGTGCACGAGGTATAATGCTACGACAATGCAAAGTTTTAGTGTGGGACGAAAGTACAATGTCGCATAAAAAAGCTGTAGTAGCACTAAATCGAACGCTCCAGGATTTGCGCAGCAATACCGATGTAATGGGAGGAATGGTGGTTTTACTGGCTGGTGACTTTCGCCAAACTTTACCTGTCATTCCAAAGGGCACACCTGCAGATGAAATTAAAGCATGCCTCAAGTCATCTATTTTATGGAACAAGGTGACAAAATGCAGTTTAACTATGAATATGAGAGTGCGTTTGTATAATGATATCAATGCTGGAAACTATGGGCGATGGAAGGCGATGGGCGGTTGGAAACGGATGCTGAGGGCTGCGTTAAATTGACGAGAGATTTTTGTAATTTAGTACAGAGTCATTCCGAATTAATTGGGAGAGTTTATTGAGATTTAATGAACAACAGGCATGAAGACAAATGGTTATGTGAGAGGGCGATTCTTGCACCAAAAAATGAGAGCGTTAACAAAATAAATTCAGATATATTAAGCGAAGTAGCAGGAGAAATAACAGAGTATTTGTCAGTAGACACAGTTATGGACACAGAACAGAGCACTTCATATCCTGTAGAGTTTCTAAATTCTCGAGTTGTCAGGTGTGCCCTTACATAATCTTCAATTAAAATTAGGCATCCCAGTCATGCTAATGCGAAATTTAGATGCTCCTCGGTTATGTAACGGGACAAGGCTGCGTGTGGCACATCTTGGACGGAACATAATCGGTGCTACAATTTTGACAGGCGTAGGTAAAGGTGAAAATGTTATTATACCACAGATCCCTATAATTCCCACAGATCTTCCTTTTCAATTCAAAAGGTTGCAGTTCCCTATTAAGCTCAGTTTTCCAATGACAATTAATAAAGCACAAGGGCAATTGTTACAGGTAGCGGGGGTCAACTTAGAAAAACCGTGCTTCTCTCATGGTCAGCTGTATGTAGCATGTTCGCATGTCATCAAATGCCTAGAATCTCTACATTCTTTCCTGAATCGAAAAATATATAACATTGTGTACAGTAGCGTCTTAAAATAGTGTTCAGTTAGTATTTTTTCCAAAATTCCCACAATCAATTAATCAGAATTCCCACAGACCTTCCCTTTCAATTCAAAATTTCCTATTTAGCTCAGTTTCTTTTCAATTCCAAATGCTGCACCTCTGACGACTATTAGCTCGTTTCTTTCAAAATGCTTTTATTTGGCTCAGTTTATTTTCAATCCAGAAAACTGCATCTCTGATGAATTAATTTAGCTCAGTTTCTTTTCAAAAGTCTGCATCCCTGATGGATAATTATGCTCAGTTTCCTTTAATTAAAAAGATATCCCATTTCCATTTGGAATAAACAGGCTATTTTCAGCTTGGTTTCAAAACATTTAAATAGACTGACGAATCAATTTTGCTCAGTTTCCTTTTAATGGCTGCATCTCTGACAAATCTATAAAACTCAGTTTTCTTTCAATTCAAAAAGCAATGGACAGTTCATTTCCCAGTGACCATGCGGGCGAAGCCATGGGTAACATATAAATAATTTCAAAGGTAATCCTATTATTTTCTTTTAGCTACATCATCAAATAAATCAGCAGTTATGAGAAGAAAACCCATGAAATAAATTTTGAACCTGGCAAAATTGTCAACACCTACAGGTACTGATATTTTTCAACAAGTCTGCTATATATACTTATATCATAATACTATTATCATCATTACAGCACATCACAAATCCACTGCTGAACATAGTATGTGACTTTGAAGGGGACTAATATTTTAATACTTCTATCATTGTTTATTTTTTAGAACATCATAATATACATATGGAAAACTGTAAATTTATTACTAAAAAAAGAAAGAAGTTTCCTGTAGAAATGGTTGAGATGATACCATAGAAGTTCCTAAATTTGGATTGACTAAAGTCCATAAAATTAAACAGTAAAATCTCTATAAATATAAAGCAGTAATTGAACATAAGATTTATAAAACTTAAGAAGATTTTGTGAAATACTAATAAAATTTAGTTAACCCAAATAAAAAAGGGCTGATGATCTTCAAATGGCTGAACAGATTTTCTTGAATCATTACTTAGAACACTCTTGATCTAGTCACCTTACAACACAAAAAGCTAAATAATAGTCCATCTATGCGGCCACTATGATGCTTCAGAAAGATGCACAGATACATATGTTCAATTTATAACACCCCTACATTTGCCTTGGGGTTATTAGGCCTAAAATAGATGGATATATTCAGAAAAGTTTATGGGAATAGCTCTTACTCGGCATGAACAAGTTCCCTGGCTACTAATATATTGTTAAAGATAGACATTTTATAATGTATTGATTTTAAGTTGTAGATTTGTGAACCGCTGTAGATTTTTATGTTCATAAGAGATTTTAACAAGCCAATATTTTGATTTGACTTTAAAAATATATTTTCTTAACTTGACACTAATATATATATATATTTTTTTTAATCGCATTAAGCAATCTAATTAATATAATATGTATTACTTGTGAGATACATTGTGTTTTCATGTGTGGGTATATTTAAAATATAAAAGATTTTTAACATTGGTATGGTCACTATAAAATGTTGAGGTTAGCTAATTTCGTAATAACGTAAAACAGAAGGACCCTTAAGTAGGGACTGAGTAAATTAACAGACTTGGTATTACATGGATCTCACAACTTTTTACAGTACAAGAACTGAGTTGCGAGACTTGTTTTTTTACAAGTTGTGTTTTTGATGGCATCTCATTTCTTTTTATAGACAAGATAGTCCTAGTTTTTTTCCTTTCTGGTACCTTCTACTTCTTGACTACCAACAAAGTACCTATCTATACCTATTATACATATACAAGAACACCGATTCATTTACTGCAAATGTAACTTTGTAATTCTATATATTTATCTGCTAGAAGTGCCTTAGTTTTGGTGATCGGTCAGTCAGTGAGTGACAAAATTGAGAAATTTTGACTAGTTATAATTCTTAAATTACTGGTTCAAATTGAATGAAATTTGAAATATACCATGTTTATACAATGCCTACTTGGTTACTGTAAATTGAGGCTTCTAGTTTCATCCACTATGAAGTTATAGGGGGTCGAAAATGGCCTGAATAGCTTCGAGAAAAGTATGGTACGGCCGTGCCGCTTTTTTGCTCGACTTGGCGGGGTCCGCCGTGCGACTGCCGTGCCCCCAGATAATTAACATTCCAACCGATAGATCCAAATACAAATTGCAATCCCAGCGCATTTTCCTCAAAAAGTATGTAATATTAAATACTTAAGTAAAGGCCATATTTATATGCGCATTTAATTTTCCTTTTCATCATATCCAGTATAATTGTGTCAATTCCAGTAAATTACAGTTAAATTATTTTTTTCTTTAACAGTTTAATAATTGTGCAAACTACGACAGTGCACTTGCATTATCGCAGCGCATTGTCTGGCAGGGTCGCCATGTAATCTTGGTAAAGATGTTAATGAGAGGAAACATACTCTAAACTTAACACTATATTGTCGTGAGAGCTACACTTCAATCCACTGAGAAACACCCATTTCTCCTAACCTCCAGTGATATATTTATTTTGGTTATTTCTTTAAATCTTTCCTTTTCTTCTTTTGATATTGATTTATGAATTTCATTTCAGGTTGTTACTCTGAATGTTCGGTACATCGATTATACACGAAAATGGAAGGAAATACTTCTGGCAAAGAAAATCTTGGTTAGTCTGACTTATGATGCCATTTTTTAACAGTTTCAATCTATTGACAATAAGATATAAACTTTTTTATAATGCAAAAATTTTTGAATTACTCTGTATATATTTAATGTGTTTCTATAATTGTAATTATAATTCTATGTTTTTAATAAAGTTCTTATAACCTATATGTGGTAGAGCCACGCTGCTTAGTGCAGGTGATTTTTGTGTATTCTGTATGGTGTTTAGGTTTTACTGGAAATGAGGTATTCTATCGTAGTCTTCAGGGGTGACAACGCATCTGAATTTGAATTTTTAATTGTATTGAAATGTAGATATCTATAGGTACACAAGTGCCTGTATAAAATCCTGGCTAAAACTATTACAATAATATAAAGTAGCAAAGGAATAATTATAGCAGTGAAGTATGTTGCTGAAAGAAAATTAACTAATGTTTCAGATCCAGTTACTCCAGCGCAAGATCCTGTGATATCAACTAATCCTGTAGTTATAAAGAAAAGGGCTGAAATGTTTTTAGGTATGATTTATTTTGATTGAGAGATGATAACTATTTATATTTAATTTTTGATAATATGATATATATTTCATATTTGTTCTGACATAGACAACATTTATATGTATCATTCATTGGATTATATGTTACTAGCGTGAGGACCAGGCCGAGTGCGCAGCTAAATCGCACTAGTGCATTGGCCCTAAAATGATAGTATAGGGACAAAGCGACTCGGTCGACGGTAGTGCGCGCGCAGAACAGATTTGCTTGTCATAAATATATCATCATATCAGTTGCGTGGTAAAAGGTTATAAAAATTACTATATAAAGATTATAAAGGAAAATGGGATATCGTACCATCGGGAAGTAAACTTATGTTAATTTTGTTACAATTAAATTATTATGTAAACGCATTTTAGCAAGTTTTATTTTATAGTTAGTCAGTTTAGTTACGTTACCAATATTACGCCAGGGTTGGATTCAGACCCTCAAATATTTTGTACAGGGAAAATAAAGTTATACTATTTGTCCAAAATTATACCACGTTTGACGTTTCATGTTTTTTTTTTGCCAAAATTTTGGCGTCACGCGTCTAGTGCTTCTATACGTTTCGATTTTTGGTTTTATTGTTATTTCCGTTTTATTTTTGTCTTAAGAACTTAGTGTGAGTTAAATTTTAAATATTGGTACCTAATATGCTTTTTATTCAATAAGGGTGAAATGAAAAGAGCACAAAAGAAACGACACCTACTTAATTGAGACTGAACATCGTATTCATAAAATATTTTGAAATTCTGTTTTCTTTTCAACACACAAGACGTCTTATAAGAAGACTTATAAACAATGTTTTCACATGTGCTATGACGAATTACGACTCGCCTAGTATTATTAAGATACTACATACTGCACACATTATGAAATAATGGTATAAATAGGATAATTATACTACGAAATCCGACCCTGGTTACGTCGTCTTATGAGAGATGCGCTACTTTTTCTTGTACGAAGAAGTTACGAGAATAATATATTTAGAGGGGCGTATCCTTCCTTTTGAAATCATCATTACGTTAGCCTAATGGCAAGGTGCGGACCGCAACTCAAAAGGTAAAATCGAATCCGCCATTCGACTACTCGTGAACCATTCTTAGCACAAGCATTAAGCTGATGGTTAAAGGGAATATTAGTAATGATAATAGCATTGTTAGTATTTTATCAGCCCTTTTTTACGTGGTAGAGCCATGCTGCAGTTATATTAGTAGTATAGTTGTAGCACGAATGGGTCGGCGTAAAATAGTAGCTTAATGCTACTGTGTTCATATGGTGAGTGTAGAGAACCGGAGACCCTTTTTACTGGAAACGAGGCATTCCATCTTAGTCCTCACGGGTGACAACGCGTCTGCATTTTGATTCGTAATCGAACATAGATGTAGATGTCTATGGGCCACAGCAACCACTTACCATCAGGTGAACTGTGTGCTCGTTTGTCATCCTATTCTATAAAAAAGCCCTTTCTATTTTAATTATTGGTGCACCACCTTTTATATGTTTATCTCTGTTTAGCTTAATAGCTGACTGATAGAATGCCCTATGGCATTAAGCGCGCTATGAACTATTTTGTGCATGAACGTAAAATTTTACTTCTCTAGACTAGACTAGGTACCGAAATTAAAAATTAAATTATTGGTCAATAAATTTAAATTTGTTAGACTCAGGAAAGTCAATTCGCAACCACTAATAAATACTTAATGATGTTTGTGGGGTGTTACAATAATTGTTTCTTTTTTTCCTTTCCTAAACAAAACTGGTTGATAATTGATTAAAACTACTTTTACGGATTTTATCGCGTTTATTTTACTATTATTAAACGCGATAAAATCCGTAAAAGTAGTTTTAATCAATGTGTAGTGTTCGCGTAAATATAAGAAATCATTATGGTTGATAATTTTTTTTATTTCTAATTTTTAAGGAGGAACATTGGCAGACAAGAAAAAGACAAAGGGTATCCTTCCAGAAGAGTACAAAGATGCTGATCTGCTGCTCTTATGGATAATATTTTCGACTCAGTTAATGGCCGTTTTAAAAAGAAAAGATGCCAAAACTCAACTTGGACCTGCAACTCACTCTGTACATCACAAAACATAGATGGATGCTAAAAACAGTTTTTGCGTCTATGATGTTTATATCTTCCACTGGTAGAATAAATTCCATCTGTAAACAATTGGGTGTGAACAATAGAAGGGATGGAAGTTTTATTAAAAAAATTAAAATTGATTTTGGCATTACATCAGTGTGGTTGCGTCATCTAAATCAGGACCCACTGAAAATTTCCTTGGTGCGGTTAGAAGCCATGGGTGCCGTAATATTAATCCAACTTGTGACCAATATGAGTCAGCGTTTGCTACTCTTTTGATTAATAATTTAAGTAGTGTCCACACTCATAGTAAAAACTGCGAGCTAGATTATTGTAATGCTGTGAACACTCTCATTGTTAATGAAAACTTAGAGGCATCGTCAACCTGCACATTTGATTTCACAAAAAATTTTGAAATAAACCTCACGCCAATTACAATGAAACTAAATATAAACATTGTGTTAACTGTAAATATGATCGATTTTTTGAAGATGAAATAGAATACAGAGAATATGTAGGTAGACGATGGCTTTGTACTCCCAGCAATGATTTGATTCAATCAATTTCAAATATGCAGGATATGATCAATCATATTTCAAAGGACAATTTTGAAAATGATCAGTTAAAAGAAATTATAAAAACAAGCATATTATATACTTTAATTGATTTTCATTTTATGAAATGTAATGTGTAAAAAATAAATTAGTTGATTGATTAATATTGTCATGCGTTGTCTGATTTTTAATACTTGTAAAAATATTAATAGAATATTAGCTGGGAGAAAAGAATTAGATGATGGTGAGAACTATTTCCAAATTAAAGCCAAAAAGTTAAGAAGTAAACTTTTAAAGAAAATTACTCTTGTTGTTACTAAAATGAGTTAATAATATTTAATTACTGTTACAAATTTTATATATTCGTGCGTTCTAAACTAATATATCAATGATATGTAATAATAAATACGCTTAAATTGAACCACCAAATTATAAAAGTAAGATTAATGAGTCCTATTTTTTTATACAAATGTATTTTTATAATTAGCAGATATGTCCTTATTAAATATGTTAGATATATAGGTTAGGTATATATAATGCATTATTACAATATTTATCAAATAATTTATTTTTAAACACAAAGTCTGTTACTAAAGATTGGTAATACTATGGGGATATTTGCCACAGTATATCGGGTGGGTTGGCAATGGCAGCGTTTTTTTTTTTCTGAAGAGGCTGCTACGCATCTCATGTTTGTATCTCTGTCGCTTCTTACGACACCCACGGGATAACATTGAGCAGTGAATTCTTTTAAGCCGTCATTTCACTACAGGGATTATACACTATTAATACAGCACATAATTTTTTGTATTACATATTTTATTTAAAAAAGTGTTAGAAATAATGCAAAGAAGCATCATTTATTTTGAGCTTTAAATTATTTGATATAAGTTATATAATGTAAGTTTAAGACGTCTTCATTGCTAACATACTGCTTTAATATTTGTTTCCAAATATTCATTATTATATGAATATTATTGCTTGAATATTTGTTTTTGTCAATATTTGATTCGATTTTAATTGAGCAATATGCAGAATTGCTTACTTGATTAGCAATTGGTTTAAAATTCATTTCAAAAATTATAAATCTCCGCAATTCCAAAGGACCCTAATTTTATTATCATTTCCATTTAATCTTAAAAGATTAACAAAAACAAATATTCAAGATTGGATTCGATTTTAATTTGAGATAGGCCAAATATGGATTTCACCGAATACGAATATTTGACCAAAAGTTCGGTAAACCTTTTACCGAACCGAATATTTTTTTATTTACATTTACATTTTTTATTTACCTTTTACCGGCAGAACATTATTCGACGAGATCATCTCGGTACCTAACCAATTTAAGTCAAAACTTGTTACCATAAAGCGCGCGGGATTATACAGAAAAATTGACGACCAAAGTAAAGTGAAAGGTACTAATGTAATGTAATATTTCTTAGTTTGATTCCAAAAACACAAGCGTATAGAAATAACAGAAGCATATAGAAAAGCGTATAAAATAAAAATACCCTACAATATTCACGCATAATTAGGTATTTTTATTTTTTTAAGTACTTGGTTATATAGTTATTTAATAATTATTTTTAATTTAATGTTCTATTTGACAAGTTTTTCTCCTTCCGAATGTTATTTCGTTTTAATGCAAAATTCCTATTCAGTAAAGTATATTGTTATATATATATAAATATGTCACTTCTAACAGAATAATATAGTATATATATAATTCTTAAATTTGTGAATATACATATTATAGCACAAGATATTACGTATATAAATAATTTAAATAAAACATTAGTTAAAAATATAAGTAATTTACATTTCTCTCCTTGCAAGTAATTAATAAATAATTCCAAACGTACCCTATATATTAATTCCATGACTGTCTACTATTACAATTTTTCCATTTTTTGGGGAAAACGTCATTTACTTGCAAACATTACTCAATTGCTTGTGTGTGTTGTTGCTTCAGCTTGTCAATCGTATAAAATTGATCGAAGACAACGGAATTTTGAATGACACTATCGCTCTAAGTCTAATTACTCTATGCTTGTATAGGATATCGATCCGCACTCCGTGTTGTCCTATCATGAATAAAAAGCACAATTGTATAACTGAAAGAGTACTTGGAAGTTCAAAATATTTTTTATTTGCAAACACGATTGTATAACTATACAAATATTTTCATGTCTGGTGTTTCAAATTCTTCACGCATCAGACTCATAGCACATACTTTAATACTTGCAAATATTATTTACTTTACGGGGAAGGACCACGCTGTCATTGAATTTCAGCGTAAAATAGCAGCTCAATAGTAACTACTGTGTATCGTATTATGAATGTAGAGAAACGAAAACCCCTTTAAGAAGAAACGAGGTAGTCTTCAGAGCTGACATTATCATTTTGATTTCTAAAGGGGCGTCCATAAATTACGTGAGATGTTTAAGGGGGGTCGAGTCAAATCTCATCTAATCTTACGTTGGGGAGAGGAGGGGTCTCGGGAAATATCACGCAATTTTTTTTCTGATTGAAACAAAAAAATTGTAATATATTGGTCCATTTAATCCAAATTGTACATGCTTAAGATTTAATCTTAGCGTAATACGATTTACGCTTACGATCTAATCTCACTACTGAAATGTCAGATTATTAAACCAATTAGCAAAATCTATGGTCAAGCCAAAGAGTATAGTAGGTTTGGCCAAAGACATTTTTTTTTAATAAAGGAAAATATAACTTAGAGTTATTACCATATATTCTTATCCAAAAATAAAAATTGTCAACAATTAAAATATCGAATTATTTGTATGAAGGTCACGTGAGCGCTAGAGTAAAGACGATTGTAAGACGTTATTGATAAATAAAATGTTTAATGAAATAGTACAGTGAAAATAGAATTTAACATTGCACGAAATTTCGGATCCAATTTTATTTTTTATAAGGTTTAGGATCACTTGCTCAGCATAAAATCACAAAATGCTGACAGGTCCAGGTGGCGCTTCAAGCGCCATCTTGAAAAAACGTTTTCAGCAGATATCTCGGAAACAATGCTCTTTAAGGCAAAAGTTATAGAAATAATTGTAGATAATTTACGCGTTTACGTAAGAAACCCACATTTTTAAAAATCTCACGTAAGATTGGGGGATGGGGAGGGGGTTCATTGAGTCCAAAGCCAAAGTAGCTGAAAAGAAGCTAGGAGTCCTTTCAGAGGTACGGTGATAATTTACGCCGGGACAGCTGCTTACTTTATATAAGTGCATGGAGTATTGCTGCCATATATGGGCTGGTGCTGCAAAATGCCACCTAGCAGCTTGGGACTCAGTGAAAAGGCGAGCTAAGAGGCTTACTGGTGACCCGAATTAAGTTAAAACTAATCTTATTAACCTCGAACACAGGTGCAAAGTGGCCAGCTTTTCAGTTTTCTACAGGATGCATTTCGGAGAGTGTGCGCAGGAATTACACTTTAATTTCTCCCTCTCCCCTCCACCATCGGCCAATCAGACGTTCGGCCAGTCTCCACCCTTTCGTTGTTGACTAATCATGCATTCGTACATGTGTACAGCAAAGGAGTGGAATAAGCTACCAGCATCTGTCTTTTTATACGATTACAGTGTGAGTGTCTTCAAGGCAAGAGTCAATAGGTTTTTATCAAGTCAGTGCGATTCACCATCCTAGGCTACATCACCACTTACCATCAGGTGGGATTGTAACTAAGTGCTGGCTTAGAACAATAAAAAAAAGAGTCAGTGTCTTTTGTAACATTATACTTCATAACATGTTTTCGGTAATCTAATATTAAAAACTTATTAGGCACAATTCGTGGACAACACGTTATTGTAAAATTATGGGTACTTGAAAGTATCGTGTTTACGAATAATCTTATAACAAAAGCTTAGTCTTATGTTGTTATGATGTTGCGACTACTCTCGGACTGTATAACTATGTATATTATGTTCGTGGATCCCGCCGCACGTTCCGTCTCGCTCTCACAACCATAGGTAACTAATAATAGTCCGCGATCCGATTCACGCCAAAATCGCTGATAACGCTCGGCTCATATTCGCTTTCGCGTTCCAAATCACCCGTTCTCTGATGGGCCAATCACAAAGACCCGGCAGGCCGCATGTTGAGTATAGCTACTTTTGATGAACCACTGCAGTGCTTTTATCTATAAAGTAGTTCTATATGGGTTCACCGATATACTAGTAGACTTGATGTAAACTGAAATAGTGTCATTACTTGAACGCTTCAACAAAACATGTGCATATGTTGCTTCTTTCCACAATATGGCCGACAATGGTTTTACGAATA